GGCCTATCTGGTCTCTTATAAGAGGAATTATATGAGAATGCTAAACTAACTTGATAACCTTTTTACGGAATTTCGTGCAGCTAGACTGCAATAATACATCTATGAGGCTTGCATCATTATACAAATAATACGACTGTGTAGGCTTTAAACCAAAACGCTACTTCAAACATGTAATGCATCCACCATAAAATGTGACTGCAAATATTGTTTGAACGACCAGTTCAAGGTGCGTTTATAATTCAATCAGGATGCCTCTCATTTTATTAGAATTACATAAAAACCCGTAATTACAACTTCGGATATCACAACTGTAGATCGCATGAGGTAAGGCAACAAACCACGTTTCAAATAATTCAAATGGTCAGGCATATGTCGAGAAAATAAGATGTCAGCACACAATAAAATGTGGAAGTCAATTAAATTACTTCAAGAGTTATCCAGTCTGTTTGAATTACCTACAGACTGTGGAAGTCTGCGAAGCATCTTCATTTTCCGTTCTTCCACTTCTCCAGCGAATTCACGTAAGCGATTGTCAATAACATTCTTCTTAACCAACAAGTTTCTATCGTAGCTCCAAGAAGTATTCCTGAAAAATCAAGTACACAATAAATTGTCAAGATATTCTGCATGATAATGTAGTTATAGTTGGTTCTGAGATTCGAGTATGTTGAGCTTACCCTGGCCTACATAGAGATAATTCAATAGGTCCTGCAAGAGGATCGTACCACATTGCGTCCGAGCTTGAAACAGGCCTGCAAAATCGTCTTTTTTAAAGTCGCCCTACCTTTCAGGTATCATGTCAACATGGAAATTTCTGAGGCCATCCAGTTTCCAAACTAAGAACTGAGAACTTTCTTTCGAAGCAATTTTATGGTCAGCACAAGGATGACTGAGGTATAGGAAGTCTTTAATATGGAGTACAATTTCAGCATTAAATGTACTCAGTTGAAGTGGCATCTTTTTTTGTTTGATACAAATTACCACAGACAGCCAATCTTAGTGCTCATAACATCGTTAAATATCTGCTTGCCAGTAACTTCTGAAAGTCTTAACATCTTACATCTGATTTCTCTTAAAGATATTGATTATTGCAACAGACAGATCTCTGCTCCCACTATCAATTATTGATTTTTTCTGCTTGTCAAAGATTATCTGTTTTGACTGAGACAGAATTCAAGCAGATGGTTGATTACCTAGGCCCATAACTTTCAAATAATAGGGCCAGGAGGATCAGTCATCAGATGGCTCGACTTTATCTACATAAGCAGTTGTCATCATT